AAGAGAGTCCAGATGTGTATGTCCCAATGATTTTCTAAGCAGCAAGAAAGGAAACTATTTATAATATAAAATTAACTTCAAATTTGATACTCCATACGGCTTGATATTTTTCTTTCTCATATTTGGAGTTGGCTTCTTTTCCTCCTATTTCTACAAGGCTGAGAAAACAAATATTCTTCCAAAGTTGTTAAGTTTCTTGTAAGATAAACAATGACTCAGTGGGGAGGTCAGAAAAGATTTCAGCAATAATGTAATTTGAAAGGATTTCATTTTGAACTTGTGCCCTGCCAGCTACAAACACAAACACGAAATGGGACATTTGCCATATGTGCTGTTTCAGCTGTGACTTTCATTCTTTTCCCCAGTTTAAGTGGAAACAATTAGAGAAAACTAACAAGTTAATGTTTTGTAAATATCTTAGTTCTGAGACTTAGGTTATTTTTCACTTTTAGCAGCTCATTTTATGTGGTCACTCCTTCATTCATTCACCCAAATTCATTTATTTGCTAAATACTTACTGAGCACCTGTTCCGTGCCACGCACTGTTCTCGGTGCTATAACATTAATCAGTGAGCAAAAATGCCATGAGAATTAAGATAGTAAGCGTGTGTGTGGGGGGTACTTTTGTTTTTTGGGGTTTTTGTTTCGTTGTACATTTTTATTAGAGTAACTGATTTACAATGTTCTGTTAGTGTTTGCTGTACAGCAAAGTGAATCAGTTATACATATACATATATCCACTCTTTTTTAGATTCTTTTCCCATATAGATCATTACAGAGTATTGAGTAGAGTTCTCTGTGCTATACAGTAGGCCCATATTAGTTATCTATTTTATGTATAGTAGTGCAACACTTGTTATTTTCTATTTTTTTTGTTGTTGGTAGTGGCCAACCTAATGGCTTGAGGTGGTATCTTATTGTAGGGGGTACTTTATTTATTTATTTATTTGTTTATTTATTTATGGCTGCGTTGGGTCTTTGTAACTGTGCGTGGGCTCTCTCTAGTTGCGGCGAGCGGGGGCTACTCTTCATTGCAGTGTGCGGGCTTCTCATCGTGGTGCTTCTTGTTGTGCAGCATAGGCCCTAGGCATGCAGGCTTCAATAGTTGTGGCATGCGGGCTCAGTAGTTGTGGCTCACAGGCTCTAGAGCGCAGGCTTAGTAGTTGTGACGCACAGGCTTAGTTGCTCCGCGGCATGTGGGATCTTCCTGAACCAGGGCTTGAACCCGTGTCCCCTGCACTGGCAGGCGGATTCTTAACCACTGCGCCACCAGGGAAGCCCAGGGGGGTACTTTTGATTGGTGATCTGAGAAGGTTATCCTAAGAGATAACATTTAAGATAAAATCTGAGTAGTAATGAAGAGCCAACCCTGCAAAGGTAGGGGGAAAGAGAATTTAGGCAGAGAACAGCTAGTGCAAAGACTAAATCAGAAACACACTGGAGGGCTTCCCTGGTGGCGCAGTGCTTGAGAGTCCGCCTGCCGATGCAGGAGACGCGGGTTCGTGCCCCGTTTCGGGAGGATCCCACATGCCGCGGAGCGGCTGGGCCCGTGAGCCATGGCCACTGAGCCTGCGCGGCCGGAGCCTGTGCTCCGCAAATGGGAGAGGCCACGACAGTGAGAGGCCCGCATAACGCAAGAAAAAAAAAAAAAAAAAAAAAAGAAACACACTGGACCTGTTCCAGGACCCAAAAGATGCTCAGGAGGCTGTGATCTTTGAGATCCAGTGGGAAAGTTGGTGGAGACTGACGTGTGGGGCTTTACAGACTGAATTTGGATTTCATTCTAAGTGCAATGGGAAGCTACTAAAGTATTTTCAGCAGGGGAGTGACGTGACCTCATTTACTTTAAGGCGTGCCAAGCCAGCGTCTGCAGGCACACAGCTGAACATGGCTGAGAAATCACACGAGCACAGGGCTGGGGCCCAGGTTCGATCATCCTGACTGACCTCAAGAGGCCCCCTCCGTGCTACCTGGCAATCACCCATGTCCCTTGTCCATGAACTGTCTCTCCTAGACAACTGCTCAATGCCAGCCTCTCTCTGGAAACCTCCCACCTCCTTAGCTGTCTTCACTCCCGCCAACAGCCTTGCTCCTGACTTCATGGAAGAAATGAACACAATCAGAAACGGAACTTCCTTAACCTTCCACCTCAACCCACACATCAGTATTTGCATCCAAATACACCGCCATCCCTCTGGGTTCTATCTTTTAACTCATTCCTATGTGAAGCCAACCACTTCATGTCCTCTGCCCTTCCCTTCTCCAGAACATTTCCCAATAGTTCTTCCTGATCACCCCTGCATCATCCATATCTTGCCTCTCTCCTAGATCTCTATTTTGCATCAGCAGAGCAACCTTGTGTGATTTTTTCCCCCAGCTTAAAAAAAAAAAATCTTTTGGTCCCATTTTCCTCGCTAGGTTTTGCTCTTGTATCATTTTTTAAATTAGATTTATTTATTTTTATTTATTCATTTTTGGCCGTGTTGGGTCTTCATTGCTGCTCGCGGGCTTTCTCTAGTTGCAGAGAGCAGAGGCTACTCTTGGTTGCCATGTGCGGGCTTCTCATTGCAGTGCTTCTCTTGTTGCGGAGCATGGGCTCTAGGCACACGGGCTTCAGTAGTCGTGGCATGTGGGCTCAGTAGTTGTGGCTTGC